TCCAATTAGGAACGAACTGCCTTTGAACTTGAATTGTCTAGTTTCTAACACCTATTGATTTCGGATCGTGCCCAAAACATGGGCAACATCATAATATGGTGGGAGGAGTCATTTGGTTAAGTTTGAGTGAAATCCGATCTCTAGAACTCCCCAAAACACCAACCACTCCAATTAGGAACGAACTGCCTTTGAACTTGAATTGTCCAATTTCTTACACCTATTGATTTCGGATCGAGCCCAAAACTTGGGGAACATCAAAATATGGTGGGAGGAGTCGTTTGGTTAAGTTTGAGTGAAATCCGATCTCTAGAACTACCCAAAACACCAACCACTCGAATTAGGAACGAACTACCTTCGAACATGAATTGTCCATTTTCTTTCACTTATTGATTTTGGATCGAGCCCAATACTTGGGCAACGTCATAATATGGTGGGAGGAGTCATTTGGTTAATTTTGAGTGAAATCAGATCTCTAGAACTACCCAATACACCAACCACCCCAATTTGGAACGAACTGCCTTTGAACTTGAATTGTCCAATTTTTTACACCTATTGATTTCGGATCGAGCCCAAAACTTGGGCAACATCATAACATGGTGGGAGGAGTCATTTGGTTAATTTCGAGTGAAATCCGATCTCTTGAACTACCCAAAACACCAACCACTCCAATTAGGAACGAACTGCCTTTGAACTTGAATTGTCCAATTTCTTACACCTATTGATTTCGGATCGAGCCCAACACTTGGGCAACATCTTAATGTGGTGGGAGGAGTCATTTGGTTAATTTTGAGTGAAATACGATCTCTAGAACTACCCAATACACCAACCACCCCAATTAGGAACAAACTGCTTTCGATCATGAATTGTCCAATTTCTTACACCTATTGATTACGGATCGAGCCCAAAACTTGTGCAACATCATAATATGGTGGGAGGAGTCATTTGGTTAATTTGGAGTGAAATACGATCTCTTGAACTACCCAAAACACCAACCACTCCAATTAGGAACGAACTGCTTTCGAACTTGAATTGTCCCATTTCTTACACCTATTGAGTTCGGATCGAGCCCAACACTTGGACAACATCATAATGTGGTGGGAGGAGTCATTTGGTTAATTTTGAGTGAAATCCGATCTCTAGAACTACCGAATACACCAACCACCCCAATTAGGAACAAACTGCTTACGAACATGAATTGTCCAATTTCTTACACCTATTGATTTTGGATCGAGCCCCAAACTTGGGCAACATCATAATATGGTGGGGGGAGGCATTTGGTTAAGTTTGAGTGAAATCCGATCTCTAGAACTACTCAAAACACCAACCACTCCAATTAGGAATGAACTGACTGTGAACTTGAATTGTCCAATTTCTTACACCTATTGATATCGGATAGAGCCCAACACTTGGGCAACATCATAATATGGTGGGGGGAGGCATTTGGTTAAGTTTGAGTGAAATCCGATCTCTAGAACTACTCAAAACACCAACCACTCCAATTAGGAATGAACTGACTGTGAACTTGAATTGTCCAATTTCTTACACCTATTGATATCGGATAGAGCCCAACACTTGGGCAACATCATAATATGGTGGGGGGAGGCATTTGGTTAAGTTTGAGTGAAATCCGATCTCTAGAACTACTCAAAACACCAACCACTCCAATTAGGAATGAACTGACTGTGAACTTGAATTGTCCAATTTCTTACACCTATTGATATCGGATAGAGCCCAACACTTGGGCAACATCATAATATGGTGGGAGGGGTCATTCGGTTAATTTTGAATGAAATCTGATCTCTAGAACAACCCAGAACTTGGGCTACATCATAATATGGTGGGAGGAGTCATTTGGTTAATTTTGAGTGAAATCCGATCTCTAGAACAACCCAATAAACCAAGCACCCCAATTAGGAACGAACTGGCTTTGACCTTGAATTGTCCAAATTCTTACACCTATTGATTTTGGATCGAGCCCAAAACGTGGGCAACATCATAATATGGTGGGTGGAGGCATTTGGTTAATTTTGAGTGAAATCCGATCTCTAGAACTACCAAAACACCAAACACTCCAATTAGGAACGAACTGCCTTTGAACTTGAATTGTCCAATTTCTTACACCTATTGATTTCGGATCAAGCCAAAAACTTGGGCAACATCATAATATGGTGGGAGGAGTCATTTGGTTAATTTTGAGTGAAATCCGATCTCTAGAACTACCCAATACACCAACCACCCCAATTAGGAACAAACTGATTACGAACATGAATTGTCCAATTTCTTACACCTATTGATTTTGGATCAAGCCCCAAACTTGGGCAACATCATAATATGGTGGGAGGAGTCATTCGGTTAATTTTGAGTGAAATCTGATCTCTAGAACAACATGGAACACACCAACTACTTCAATTAGGAACGCACAGCCTTTGAACTTGAATTGTCCAATTTCTTACACCTATTGATTTCGGATAGAGCCCAACACTTGGGCAACATCGTAATATGGTGGGAGGAGTCATTTGGTTAAGTTTCAGTGAAATCCGATCTCTAGAACTACCCAAAACACCAACCACTCCAATTAGGAACGAACTGCCTTTGAACTTGAATTGTCCAATTTCTTACACCTATTGATTTCGGATCAAGCCAAAAACTTGGGCAACATCATAATATGGTGAGTGGAGGCATTTGGTTAATTTTGAGTGAGATCCGATCTCTAGAACTGTGGAATACACCAACTACTTCAATTAGGAACGCACAGCCTGTGAACTTGAATTGTCCAATTTCTTACACCTATTGATTTCGGATCAAGCCAAAAACTTGGGCAACATCATAATATGGTGAGTGGAGGCATTTGGTTAATTTTGAGTGAGATCCGATCTCTAGAACTGTGGAATACACCAACTACTTCAATTAGGAACGCACAGCCTGTGAACTTGAATTGTCCAATTTCTTACACCTATTGATTTCGGATCAAGCCAAAAACTTGGGCAACATCATAATATGGTGAGTGGAGGCATTTGGTTAATTTTGAGTGAGATCCGATCTCTAGAACTGTGGAATACACCAACTACTTCAATTAGGAACGCACAGCCTGTGAACTTGAATTGTCCAATTTCTTACACCTATTGATTTCGGATAGAGCCCAACACTTGGGCAACATCATAATATGGTGGGAGGAGTCATTTGGTTAATTTTGAGTAAAATCCGATCTCTAGAACAACCCAATACACCAAGCACCCCAATTAGGAACAAACTAGCTTTGACCTTGAATTGTCCAAATTCTTACACTTATTGATTTTGGATCGAGCCCAAAACGTGGGCAACATCATAATATGGTGGGTGGAGGCATTTGGTTAATTTTGAGTGAAAT